GTGGCCAGGGTATCCTACTATGCTTAAATGGATCACCTGCCACCAACCACCACTCCACGGTTGCAACCCACACGTGCTGTCCAACTGACCTGCACAAGAACAAAAGGGACACCACACTGTTATAGAGAAATACTGATTTTAATGAAACAGATTAAGGAAAACTATTCATTATTGTTTGGCCTAACAATTAGCAAAAACTGTTGAGACAAGGCACAATATTCTTCCCATACTTGTTATGTCTCCACTTACCAAAAAATTTTAATGAAAACATTAACATAAAAATAGAAGTCTGAGATTTTTAAAAGCTGTATAAAAGCCCCATAAACTTGTCTAAGTTATTCCTTATTCTACAATATAGCACCAGCAAGAAGAGTAAAAAAGGTGTTAATAACCATTACTACAGCATTTCTGAAATGCAGCTTGTCTGACCTCCCATCCCCCTAAAAAATGTACTGTGGAATAAAAAAGGATTTTAAAATCTCTGGGAGGAGGATCATGCCTTCATGGCAGTTTCCCCACCATCTCTTAGATGCAGGGGCAATGTGAGAAATGTGCTTCTGCCTCTCACTGTCACAGCTTCTTGAAGACAGATGAACATTAGGGTTTTAGGCTTCTCACAGGGCCTGTGTCCACAGAGGGTATGTCTTTCGGAGGGAAGGGGGTGGGCTCTTGTCTAAACGCCTTCCTTCCTTCAGTACCCGCACACAGGGAAGAGGGAAGTGAAAGGTGGAACTTGTGCACCTAACACATGGCAACTTGTATGATCCAATTCCGCCACCCTTTCCTGAGCTGATGGGGGTTCTATTGCAGTCAGGGAGAGGGATTTTGCTAGGGGTGGCCCTTGCCCTTGGATTTGTGGGGGAAAGTAGCCCTGATGTGGTGATGATGACATCATCCCTGCTGAAATCATCATCAAGGAAAACATTCTAAAGGCAGACTCCAGCCCCTGCAGCAAGGCAGGAAAATATGCTGGGTAAAATTCAAGAAAGACATACACATCACTTCCTCTTCCGCTAGCCCTAAAAAAGACGTCCTGGGCCCTTAAAATGTCCCTTAACTATGTGTCTACAACTGAATACTCCTATAAACATGGAGTTGCAGACATCTCTAAAAAGTTTTACAATAACTGTCTTGGGTTATTTTGCAGCATTACCTGAGTCTTGGAGAGCGGTCAGCACTGTAGTTTTGGTATCTTAGCTATCAATTCTGGGTGGTATACCCAGGAGAGAGGAGAAAAACATCTTACTACCTACTTCAAGTTTTAAAGTTTTAGGAGGAGAAAAATGAGCACCATGTCTGGCTGCTCTGAGCAGCCAGGTGTGAACTGTGCACAAGGAGGCAGCACCTTGGGCTCATCCTGCCTGTTTGGGTCAGGTGGTTCTGCTCAAACTGAGCAGGAGAGAACTGAGGTACAGTGAGACCCCATATGCTGAGCTGAGGTAGGGCAGAGCTGGGGGCAGCACCTTCAGGAATCAGAAGGCCTCTGTGGCCCTGGCTCTGCCCACAAGCCCCAGTGCCACAGGTCTGGGCAGAACTATTCACATGCAAAGTAGTCCTTCAAGGGGGCGAAGGGGTGTCTGATGACGGGCACACTCCAGGACCTCCCGAGCAGCTTCTGGCGGGCACCACGGCCCATGTTGGACACGTCCGTGTAGTGTACGGGAAAGCCGAAGATCCTTTGCTGTCCTGCTGTATTCCAAGCAGTCCTGCAGCTCAAGTTTATCGTTCTTTGATGCTATCACAGGCCTGTTCATCCCAGGTAAGTTTCCCCAGAAGTATCGGGCCCTGTGAGCAGCAGAGACCTTGATGGCATCGATCATCACTGGATTACACTCCAGGAAACGTGAAATGTCTCTCTTGTCACCAACCTTCATGGCCACCACATTCTCAAACATCCAAAAGAATGGCCGGTCATCCCCCTCTTTGGGGCGTGAGTAATTCAGCAGGTGGTAGAACTCAAAGAAGAGTCGGCCAGTGCCCTCATACAGGCCTTTCCTGGCTGGATTCACATTGGAGAGATCATTGCATGGGCTTCCACCAATGACCAAATCAAATGGGCCCCACTCTTCAATATTTTTCCTTGTGATGTTCCTGACATCATTCACATATTTAATATTCCCCTCATGCTTTACTGTTCCAACAGCGATGGACTCTTCACATATTTCCGAAGCGACATACTTCTCCACTTTAATGCCCAATTCTTTGAGCACTAAGTACCCTGTCGCAATTCCATCAAACAGTGACAGGACTCGAATGGGCCTCCTTCGGGAAGCAGGAATTGCTGGATATAACTTCGGGGCCTCATAATCAAGGCCTGAATCGCTGGTGAAGAAGGCCTGCAGGCGCACATTCCAATCCTTCCTGCGTCGCAGGATACTGTGGCAGCGCTGGGGGAGGCACATGTAGCAGCTCCAGGGCTCTTGCAGCTTGGCCTCTGTGGCTGTGCCTGTGCCCACCAGCACCTCCAGACACTCCACACAGAAGCACCGACAACAGCTTGTGTTACTGCAGAGGAGCAGCTCGCGGCCCTCACAGCACACAGTGCAGTAGGACTGGTAGCCATCATCATCATACATGTAGAAGAGCTCCAAGAAGCGATCCCGGCACGTCTGGCAGAGGCCACCCTCAAAGAGTGGGTGGAAAGACACAGGGTTCTTCCTACCACAGGACAAGCAGCTGTCTTCCAGATTGCTCTTGTTGCTGAGCACGTCAGAAGCCATTTGTTCTCGGTTCTGATCTTCATCTCCTCGGTCTTTGCCATTGTTATAGCAATTGGTCTTGAGGCGTTTGGGTGGGGGACAGTAGTCAGAAGTGGCAGAGTCGTCAGCTATGCGTCTTCGACTCTTGTTCTCGTGTTTCCTGGATCCTAATTTCCTACTGCCTGCACGACGCACCTTCGACTTATTAACCACTGTTTGCTTCTTGTTGGGTTTGAGGCCTTCCACGCCAGTAGGCTTGAAGCCCCCATGGGCCCACTCCAACATGGGCTTCAGCTGGTCCTCCAGTGAGTCTCCAGGACCGCCAGGGAAGTTCTTGCCAGCACGCACCCTGGCTTTCTCCAGGGCATGGTACATGGCCTTTCTGTAAGAAACCAGCTTGTTATAGGTAGCCAGGTTAAAGTGCTGGCTGAACAGCCCCAGAGCCACCAGTTTGTCTGCAGAAACCTCAGAGAATTTGCCATCACCAAACCACTGCACCCATCGCATGCCAGCCACGGCCTGGCGTTTGGAGGTAGCTTTCCATGACACCACCATGGCAGGCCACCAAGAGAAGCCCTTGATCTTTTCCCACACAAGGTCCCCTATGCCAAACTCTTTACCATCCTGGTACTCTGCGTCATC